GACTAGCCTCAAGCAACTAGACATTGTCCAGATGATGAAGATGTCATCAATGTAGCGCAAGTAGAGTAGGGGCGTTAGGGGACGAGAGCTAAGGAAGCGTTGTTCTAAGTCAGCCATAAAAATGTTGGCATATTGTGGGGCCATGCGGGTACCCATAGCAGTGCCGCTGACTTGAAGGTATATATTGTCCCCAAATGTGAAATAGTTGTGGGTGAGGACAAAACCACAAAGTTCAGCCACCAGGTTAGCTGTGACATTATTAGGGATACTGTTCCTGATAGCTTGTAGTCCATCTTTGTGTGGAATATTGGTGTAGAGGGCTTCTACGTCCATAGTGGCCAGGATGGTGTTTTCTGGAAGATCACCGATGGATTGTAGTTTCCTCAGGAAGTCAGTGGTGTCTCGAAGAGAGACACCCAGGTTGGGATACTGAATCTGAAAGCTCCACACATGATTGTACTTAAAACCTTCAAAACCATTCCTGACACCCTTTCCCTTTCCCCCTCTAGAGGGCTCCGAGTGCAAACTCTGCCCCAGGGATTGGCTGTCGCATAGAAGGAAGTGCTATTGGGTCTCTAAAGAAGTTAAATACTGGAAGAAGAGCTTTGAAGACTGTAAAGCGAAGACGTCTCAACTGCTCGTGATCCAGGACCAGGACGAGATGGTAAAGAAAAGAGGATGCTGAACCTTCAGCTGGAGAAATGGGTCTATAGTAGAATACAAAGACTTGTGTCAGCAATAAGTATGGAAAGAAAATGTTGGAAGGAGACTCAGCTGTGTGAAATTTGGATGAATTAAAGCTAAAACAAAACATTCTTTATATCTGGGAGCAGAAAGGGGGGAAATGATAAACTGCAGCTCCTACTGTGGCTCCCCCTCTTAATTATTTTTGCCTAAAAATTTTATACTTTAAGTAGAAAAGAACTTGTTCATGTTCTAACCTTCAGGGGGAGGGATAGCTCAGTGGGTTGAGCATTGGGCTGCTAAACCCAGGGTTATGAGTTCAATCCTTAAGGAGGCCCATTTAGGAATCAGGGTAAAAGTCAGTCTGGGTATTGGTCCTGCTTTGAACAAGGGGTTGGACTAGATGACCTCTTGAGGTCCCTTCCCACCCTGATATTCTATGATCTGATCAGAAAATAATTCTATAGCAAATGGAACTACAGTGTGAACCTCTCAGTCCTACACTGAGATTCCATTTTCCCAGGGGCAGAGGCTGCATTCGCTGTGTGGTTCAGGTCCTCAGAGCGGGGCTGCAGATTTCCCCCGGAGGCATTGTGGGCACAGCCCCTGAAGCTAGAAGCAGAGTGTATCTGTGCAGGTGTACACAGGAAATTCTAGCCTGCGTTAGTGATTTTATCCAGTCCCCTCTGTGTTACACTTCACAGGATTTCATATGGAATGTTACAAAAGGTGTCAATCATGTTTGGATTGGACTTAACGTTACATCCCCTGAGAGGAACTGGATGTGGGTGGATGGCTCCCTAGTCAATCAAACACTGTGAGTGCTGTTTGACCTTTAACGTGGTTATTTTATACCTCTGGCAGAAAATCTTAGTCCATTACTTTCCAACGTGAGTGCTTAAAATTAGTCACCTCAACCCTTATTCTGATTTAAAATGTACAAGAGATGATATGGCATCCCCTAGTAGCCTACTAGGAATTGAAAGCCATGACGTAGGTCACTGGGAAATTAATTTCCCTTAAGGGCTCGGCTTTCAATGTAGGTTATGTTTTTTCTATAGCACACACGTCGTGGAATCTAAGCAGTAACCTGGGCATTCAGTACTTGCTCCTTGTCACAGGATACACCAGATTAATATGTTTGGGGGGGTGGGGAAGACTATCCCACAGAGCAATTCAAATGTTGGAAGCTCCTGGCCTCCTGGTCCTGATAATGGGGGCAGGTAAACTACAGCTGCTGGGGTTAAAAGCTTGGAGGACTGCAAATTGGAAAAACCCAGCTGGGGAACCTGAATTGGGACTCTGAGGGTGGAGGGTTTGTAACGTCTTGGTACCAATCATCCCCCAGCTCAGAGGAGACCAAATGAAATTTTTATTCCACCACTGAGAGAGGGAAAGCATCTGTGAGTGTTCGTTTTATTTTTTTAAAACGAAGCCAGATTCACTGCTTGGGGTGTCCTTGTGTCATGGATGGAGGGCAATTATCCCTCTTTTCTGCTTAATTGTTATGGCAACTCCACAAAGCACCAGAACACCCTGTCACATTTCCCGTCACATTCCTCCGAACAGTTACCTCTATGTGTGCATACCCACTGCACACAAATGAGGACAAATGACTGCAATAGAACTTGTTGAATAAATTTAAACCTCTGATAATATATTTTCTTCATTCCACAGGTTCCCAGTAACCGGCCTTGCTGAACAGAACAGTTGTGGGGTGATGAAGGGGGAACAGATTCGTTCTGAAATCTGTGGTGCTGAATTCAAATGGGTTTGCCAGAAAGAAGCCTTCCAGATATAAAAGCATCTTTAAGTGTGTATTGATGGAACTGAAGTCTAAAGCATCCACAGTGATAATTTGTAATGTGATTATTTTAAATAAATCCATGTTTAATCATTTTAATTCTCAGGGTCTGTTACTTTAGAAATTGGTTTTCAAAACAGGGTCTATTCTTCTATTTCTTGGTTTTAAGAGAAGCTGGTATGAATCCCTGAAAAGCCAACCATTTTCAGCTTATCTTGATCTTAATCATGTTTTCTGTTGTGAACAACTGTTTCAAAGCCTATAGCAGAGGCGGGTTGGGACACCCAAGTGCTGTTTTGGTTTGTGTGACAAACGTAAGTGTTTCAGAACTCTTGCACATGGGCCAAATTTTTAGAACTAGCCTCTAAATCTGTTTGCCCAAAATCTCCGATTTAGTTCCTCAGGTCTGGTAGTTGTGTGTCCAGCTGACCAGTTTGGTGAACAAATACCATTTATTTACCCAAATCGGAGATTCTGTGCTACCAAAAAGAAATTTGGTGGGCAAGTTTAGAGGCAATATTCTCTGAAAATTTGGCTCCAAGGCTTTGAGGTACTATGGAATCCATACAGGGTGAGATTTTCAAAGGCAGGCAGGGCAGTTAGGCACCCAATTCTGATTGAAAGTCAGCATCCTTCAAAAATCTCTAAGACCACAGTGTTCCTCTGGATATTATGGGCAAAGTTTGCAACTTAGCCTTTAAGATGCACCCTTTTCTTTAATTTGCTTCTCCACGATGAAGGCCCAAAAGGTGGGTGTGTTTAATTTTTTTTTAAACTATTTATGAAGCTTTTACAAGCTTACAAATCCTTGCCATGTAACTATCAGAAACAAAGCAAACGTTACAACAATTCTCTTTTGTTTAAAGAGACTTACAGAGGAATATAGTCATCAGATCTTTCTATTTAACAGGGTGATACCATACATCGGGGTCAGCAACCTTTCAGAAGTGGTGTGTCGAGTCTTAATTTATTCGCAGTACATGGAGGGGTTTGCTGCTTGCCACTTGCATGGCACTGCGAGAGAGCCCAGGCTGGAGAGTTTAAGGGGACTCAGCGGTCCCACAGTCCAGGTTGTAACCATGGGGGGATGTCATGCCCGTATGTTTTGTATTAATTAGGGCTGTCAAGCAATTAAAAAAATTAATCGTGATTAACTGCACGATTAATCACACTGTTAAACAATAGAATACCATTTCTTTAAATATTTTTGGTTGTTTTCTACATTTTCAAATATACTGATTTCAATTACAACAGAGAATACGAAGTGTACAGTGCTCACTTTGTATTTATTTTTTATTACAAACATTTGCATTATAAAAAAGAAACTACAATTAATCTCATTGAAGGACTTTAGTGCAATCACTTTATCCTGAAAGTTGAACTGAAAAATGCAGAATTATGTAAAAAAGAATAATTGAACTTAATAAAACAATGTAAAACTTCAGAGCCTACAAGTCCACTCAATCTTACTTCTTGTTCAGCCAGTTGCTCAGACAAACAAGCATTCAGTGCTGGAGGGGGGAAGTGAGCAATGACTTGTACAGGAGGAGGGTGAGGGAGGTGTCTTGCTGCTGCTTCTGGATGGGTGGTTTCTGGTACTGGGCTCGCCTCCTTTTACTGAAGTAGGTGGGCTCCCTTTAGCTGAGTGAGCCCTTGTTTGCAAGGGAGGGTGGATTTTACCTCAGGGACTCACCATACTGCAGGGGAGGAGAGGCTGGTGCAGGGAAGCTGAGCTCACCAGGCCCATGTTCCCTATGGGGTACCCCGGAGCGAGTGGCCGACTAGGGGCAATGGGGCACGACACAGGGGGGTTGGTCCCAGGAGTGAGGGGCTGGCCAGAACAATAGGGCCTGGGATGGGTAAGGTGATGATATGTCCTGTTTTGGTCGGGACAGGCCCCTTTTTCAGCTCTGTCCTGGCCGTCCCTACTTCTTTGCAAAACCTGGGCATTTGTCCTGGCTGCCAGGCAGAGCAGAGAGAGGCAGCTGCTGCCTGAGGGTCACCTGAAGGCAGCAATGCCCCTGCCCACCAGCAGGAAAGTGGGGAAATTTGCTGCTGGCGGACAGTGCTGGCTTCAGAACTGACCCCTGGGCAGCACAGAGCTGGGGGGGGGGGGGGGGGGGGAGAGGAGAGAGATCA